GGGCTGGGAGGCTTCCCGGGGGGATGGAGAGAAAAAGTAGGTTGGCAGGAGGAGGGTGTCCAGCCCGGGAACAATAAATCAAAGGGAAAGGGAGTTACTGCCCGGCCAAGGAGCTTCTGAAACCCTGGGCCACAGCAGGAGCCCGGGAGGAGCAGCGCTGATGGCTGCCATCGGGGTCCCGCAGAGAGATTTCCTCTGCCCGCTGGCAGTGGGGTAGGCAGCTGCACAGCAGGCAGCCGGCAGGTCTGCCTGCACAACATTAGCTCTAGCATCCCCAGCAGCACGGTCCGCAGTCCCTTGGCACGACTGAATACAGCCCCTTATGGGGAAGGGGCTTCACCACCTCTGGGCATGGGGACCCCCCAGGTCCAGAAGCCACAGCGCTCACTCAGGGCTGCCCATGTCCCCACTGAGACRGTTTCTGAATCATTAGTTCATTTTCCTGGGGCTGCCCTCCTTCCTGGGGCAGTCTGGCACAGCTAGGATGGGCAGCCTGCTACATGTCCTGCCAGGAGTCAGGAACAGACATTAAWTCCAGCTCACCTGCTGGGCCTTTTTCTTTTCTTATAGAAATATCATTAGGAGGGTTAGCTGTTCCACTTCCCCTGACACGCAGCAGTGCCATGTGCTGGGCCAGGGGCTGCTGCTGGCACTGTGGATATCAGTCCCTGGGTACCAGTCTCTAGCTGCCAGTCCCCAGATCCCAGTCCCTGGATGCCAGCTGTCAGTATGAATCCCTGGCTGCCAGCCCTTGGGTGCCTGTCCCAGGGCATCTCTCCCTGGGTGCCAGTCCCTGGGTTCCAGCCGTCTCAGGAGCAAAAGCAAGTGCTTCATAAACATCATCAAGCACCTTCCTGAGTTCCCCACCAACAGCCCCAATCCCCATCCCGCCGCGGGGGAGGCTGCTCCAGCCTATCTCCTCGGCATATCTGCAGTGCGAGACGGCAGCAGCTGCCGGTAATCCTGGTTAATAAACAGGGAGCAGTGTCGGCAGCGGGATCACTTCTTGCCTTGCGGGGTCAGGGAGTGCTAGCAGAAGGAGCACAACTCGCCTTGCTTCTGCTGGGGTCAGGGGATGCCCACGCCGTTGGTACCTGCCCATATGCAGGAGCTGGCACCAGGCAGAGCCAAGCAGAAGCTGATGCAATGGCAGTGTCAGGATCGGGAAAGTTGCTGGTGCTGAGCCAGGAGGGAAGGAAASGGGAAAAGCCTGGAGCCAGCCCTGGTAGCACCACTGTGAAGGGCAGTATGAAGGCAAAGTCCTCAAGATAGAGAAAATATGGAACGTGCCCAACTGTGGAGCCGACGGACACAATAGCTGGGGTTGCAATTCCCTCCCCGGCAGCACACCCCTAGCACAGGGGCCTCGGGGACAGACATGCTCCTCCGAGCTACAACCTTTCTCTGCAGAGTGAGGGAGAGTGTTGATGAGAGTGTAAGGGGCCCCTGAAGCCTCAGCTCTGTCCACGCTCCTTGCAAGGCTCAGTCATCAAGACCAGGGCATCGAGAGGCAAGAGGTGATGGTCAAACCCTGGACCATYCCTGCTGCTCCACGATAGCACCGGCATCGCGGAGCTTGTCCTCTGTCCTGAGAACAAGCAGCTGCTGCAGCTGGATGGGTTGCCCTCACACCAGCCCATGACCCTCGTTCATGCCGCCAATAGCTCCCCAAAGCCACCCCGTCTCTTGCCCAGGATCCGCAGCGCTGGGGGGCTCCCAGGTCGTTCGACCCTGAAGTTGCAGCTGCCCTAATACTGGCGCGGTGCCCCCCGAGCAGCGTGAGGCYGGAGAGGTGCCAGGGACGGGGGTCCCCTCGAGGCCTCCGGGACCGGAGGGGTGCCATGCCCCGCGGCAGGGTCGGGGTCCTCCCCCTCCCTGTCCCATAGGGACCGCCCCGTCCACCTCCCCGCCGGCACTGGGTGCGGACCGGCGTAGCCCCCTCCCACCGCACCTTTCCCTCGTGCCCCCCGCCCCCCCGGGGATCAAGTTCACGCCCGACCCACCGATGCAAGGTCCAATGGGGCCGGAGCCTATCTCCATCCGGCCCGRCCCGGCCCCGCCACTCTCAGAGGCCCCGGCGGCGCCGCAGCAGGGAGGCAGCGGCCGGCAGCCCCCGCATGGAGCCCTAGGGCAGCGGGCGGCGGGCAGCATGTTCAGCCCGGACGGGGGGCTGCCGGCCGCCCCCTTCGGCCTCCTGACCGACGCCGGACCTCCCTTTCCCCGCGGCAGCTTCGACGGGGCGCCCGCCCAGCCGCTCTTTTTCCCCTTCGCCGCCACCGCCGAGCCCGAGCCCGCCCGCGACCCACCGCCGGCCCGCGCCTGGCTGCCCCCGCC